TGGAATATATAACAACTAGAGGCCCAGTTCACAAATGCATGCACCAGTGGGGCCCTCAGCCTGGCCTGCAGGATCAGGCTGAAACTGGCTCTCTGACATCCCCTGAGAGGTCCCGGTTTGCAAGAGGGCACAGGTTAGGTCAAGGGACCCCATGATTGGGGCCAGGGAGGCACACAGGAGGTTGGTCAGTTGGGGAGGAGTCATGGGAGGGTGTGTCTGGCCCCTCTGGCTCAGTCCCAATCAACCAGACCCTAGCAGCAAGCTAACCTACTAAGTGTCTACCTCCTGGTGGTTAGTGCATGTTATAGCGACTGGTTGACCAGTCGACTGTCTGTCCCCTGTGGTCAGTGCACATCATAGTGAATGGTTAGCATATCATTAGCATATTACACTTTGATTGGTTGAATGGACAACCAGACAACCAGGCACTTAGCATATTAGGCTTTTATAATATAAGAGGATATAGTCAAGGTCTTCTATAACATCACGTAGCACTTGGAAAGCAGTGTTTGCTTTGTTAATCACATACTAATGAAGAAAATGCTACTAATTTACAGGAAGATCTTTAAGAAAATCAGTAAACTTAATGCAATTAAATGGCAAACATGAACCTGTGGCTCTGGATTGCTTAAAGTCATCCCTGACTGTACCAGTGGGCATAGTGGGAGAAGTAAGGATGACTGGTCAGCATGATTCTTCTTGGGTGGTATTGATGTTTCACATATCTGGCCCACCCACTAAATGACAGTGGTTTCCCTGCCCATCAATCACGGTGAAAACCAAAAATGTCCCACATATTTCTGAACACCCTTGGGAGGCAGAACTGCCCTTGCGGAGAATCTTGTTCTACACTGTGGATGTTTATTTTGAGTTCTGTATTTCACTGGAACTGTAATCTTTGTCATTATGCCTCCAGCAAAGGCTCAAGCCCTGCAATCGGAATCTAAGTCACATTAAAAAGGCAATTACTCTTCTAAAAACACTTCAATGGTACTGATCTGTACACACAAACTCTTTCCTCAAGATTACCAATACTATGATTCCTTCCTTTACCCTTATTAGAAAAAGCAAGAATTGGGTGATATGTTAAGATTTTAATTAGTAATATGTGTTTTAATTGATGATTGCAACATTAGGAGAATGTATATAAAACTATAAGACAAATAATTCTCTTGACCTATGGTCCCAACCATTTTTATTCTTTTATGGCAAATTGTTTATATTTTAAATACTGTTTTTTAAAAAATATAATGTTTAAAACCAAATGAATTAACTTAGGTTCATATACTAGTTCAGTCTGTCAATATTTTTTATTTTGTATTCAAATCCTTATTTTTCTTGTAATTTTATGTATTTGATGAATAATAATACATTATATCAACATAATTACTAAGGAAATATTAAGACTGTCCACATCTTTGGCAAAATGAAACAAAATTCTGACGAGCAACAAATATCTTTTCTAAGCTTTGTTCTCCCTGAAGTCAGAGAGAAGGATGTGATCTTACCAATCATGCCCTGGAATTCCTTTGAGGGCTCACATCAGATCCAATTATCCTAGAAATTCTGACAGATCAAGGACACAGGCAATGGTACAACTTGAAGCAAACTGTTCCAGTTAAAATCCTAAAACAGCCTATACCAAGGAAAGCGACTAATACTCTGTATTATAGATCTATAAGTTCTACTTGTGTCTGTAAAATTAGCATATGAAATATATTTAACTTATAATAATACAGTCTATATGTTTAGCATGCTACTATTTATAAACTCCAGCTGTTGGATGGGATCTCACCAAGGTAACAGGAATATACAAGAAGCTTAGTTCACTATGATATGATGAAAGCATTATATTTTTTTTATGTGTTGATTGATTTTAGAGAGAATGAGAGACAGAGAGAGACAGAGAGACAGAGACTGGTTCTACTTATGCATTCATTGGTTGCTTCTTATATGTGGCGGCCTGACAGGATAGAAGCCACAACCTTGACATATTGGGATGATGCTCTAGCCAATTGAGCAACCCAGCCAGAGAAAATAATTTATAATTTAAAGATTGCAGTATGCTTAAGATAGGCAGAAAGGTTCCACAATCTCATCTCGTCTTTCTATTCATAACAGAAGAGAAAGACGAGATGAGAATTTGAAAAAGCAGATTTAAAAAATCAATCGTTTTGCTGGACAATGACTCTTGGAGTTGAGGAAATGAAATAGTTTTAAAATGAATGAATAAGTGAATGAGGCAACAGAAAGATTAAATAAACATAGAGGAGGAAAATTCTGGCAGAAGAGTTATGATGTCAAAATGGCCATGTTATATTTGTTTATAATCTAGCTATATGACAGAACTGGATAAAACTTACAATTTGATGTATAGTACATATATATCATCTTCAGATTGGAACAAAGGCAAAAGATGTATAGGATCAGGTCACTTGCCTCAAAGAACATTTAGTAAATATCCTCTGAGTGTGTTTAGGTGCCAGGGAACTCAAAGGTAATAAGACACTAGTCCTAGCCTTAAGAATTAACAGTCTCACAGAGAAGACAGACCTCTAAATAATACACTAACAATTCAGTACTTCTATTGAAATAGAAGTACATATAACATGTTATGGGTACACAGGGTCAGCAATCTTTTTGCCAGTTATTCAAAAATAACTGATACTTCTGTTTACATTAATATTTAGGTTTTACTAAGTGGCAGCGATTTATGAAATATTATAAAATTCAGTAAGTTTAATTGACTAGAAGATCAGTGCACATAAAGGCATTACACTGAAATATGATTCCTCAACTTAAAAAAAACAATTACAAGTTCTTTAAATTTCTCTAATATCTAACTGCTATAAAATGTATAGAAATAATTGATTGTAATAAAAGTTTTATTAAATGACACTATTGACTGTCAAATATTAGTAAGCCACTGAAGTGGTACTTTTGGGACAATAATGTCTGAAAGTACCATTCTTTCTTTCACATAAACTACAGAGGAGATTAATGTAAAAATTCACTCAGCTCCCTTGCCAGAGTACTCCCAGGTACATAGAGAGAACTAAACATGCATGACCGAGACAGTGGTAAAGGGCTCAGGAAAAACCACTCAATCCACCTTCAGCATTCTGCTCATTTCATGTCACCAGTGACTCCTTTCACTCGCCAGTGCATCTCCTAAAACAGAGCTCAAGCTTCACCTTGTTCAATGGGAAATGGACGCAGAATGCAACTTTCCCCAAAATCCTACGTGGCAAATACCACTTTCCCCCAAGCAGTAAAGGGTACAAAATTCTTAAAAGAATTGCTCGTAAAGCCTCCCCTGACTTGAATCACCGAAAGAAGAAAAATCTATTTAATAAAGAAGATTGAAATGTCGTTTTTCTAGCTAAAAAACATTACCATCTAAGTCACCTGGACTACCTGAGCTGTTGTATGCTTCTAAAACACTTTTATATCATTCCCTATTATCTGTGCATTCAATAAATATTCTTTAAATGCTTACAGGGCCCTAGGCCTGGTGATTACAATCTTCATAAGAGCCAAATAGTGAATATTTTAGGCTTTGCAAGTCAAGGAAATTATGTAGGTACTTATAAAATAATTTAAATATATAACCATTTAAAATATAAAATCATTCTTAGCTCACAGAAAACCAAACAAAAACAGGCCATAATCTGATCATTTGAGTGCTAAATCACAGTCATATATCCAAACAAAACTAAGACAATTATGTTATTAAATTTAAATGAAAGATATTTTGCACCAAGACTAGTTTCTTCCAGTAAAACCTGTAAGAATGATCTAATGAAACTGTCCAATATCTACTGGAAACTTCTATTATTATTTACCTTCATTAGATATTTCAATAGCTATAGAAAATGCTCTGTACCTGTCAAGTTTAATTCAGTAGCCACAATGCAAGTGTCCACTAAGCATTTAAAATATGTCAAATGTGTCTGAAGAATGAAATTTTAAAATTTTATTAAATGCTAATTATTTTAAATTTGCACTTGAATAGCCATTTATGATTTCTTCATCAAGTGATTTCCTACCAGAAAGATGGGTGCATATGGCAAATACAACCTGATGCCATTTCACATTATCAGCACTCCACCCTGGCAAATAGGTTTCCAGTTATCTGCCAAATCCTAATGAATTGCAGTGGAGGTCCCACAGGCTGTGTAGGCCAACTCTGAATACAATGGGGAAGGGAGCCATGATTGATTAGCCATGCCTGCCATGAGTTGGAGTTGGCAGGCACCTTCACAAGGTATTTTAAGGCTCTTTAATACCACAGATTGCCATTTCACTTACATTTAGAGCACAAAAGTTCTGAATAAATCTTAAACTCTTGTACAGAGACTAACTTGATATCTAGAGTCCAACTTTCTTGATCATTCTCTTTCTAGTTTATAAATTACTCAATTGGCATTCTGGTTCATTGACTAGTCTCTGGTGAGCTAGGTTACATAAACACCAACTGGGCAGTTGCATCCATTCTCGGTGCACTCACAAAGTCAATTTTGTCAGCAATACTGAACCACAGATTATGGTAAATGCACAAAGGTAAATCTTATGTGACCTCTTAGTAGCCAAACAGAAGGCTTGACTTTTCTGGGAAGAAAAGAACTTTATTGGACACTTCTTTTACACTTCAACAAAGACTAATTTTAATCCATTTCATCATTTCCAATTTTAATAATTTTATTTCTTAATGTTTAGTCACATTCTGCTGTTACCAGTCTTAGATTATGTATAGTTCTATATGAAAACTCTCACCATCTTTCACTTTGAAATTATAACCAATGAGAATATAGTTTGAGTCCACAGTTCTTTCATATCCTATGAATTCATCATCCTGTCAACAGAGCTTCTATCTTCACCTTCCTTTTGAGGCCTGAATTTTTCTTTCCAAAACATACTCAGTCACACTGCATTTGTAACAGCATTTTTTTTCTTTGCCCACACACCAGCCTAATTAAACCTATGTTTTCCAGTTTTACCTTTCGAACATTTGCCAACCGATTCATCATCAAGGATTCCTCTCGGTCATCGTCATCATCCAAGTCCAGCATCGGCATCCCAAAGGGGTCCATAATGCCACAGCACCTGGAGCCTTCGTCTCTTGGATCAAAGGGGTCCACAATTATGGGCTCCGTTCCTTTTATTTCACAGCGACAGAAGGGGCAGCCTTGGCCATCGGACTCCTGAACAAACACATAAAATGTGCTAATTGGTCTTTGTTTAAATAAAATGGTATTTGGAGAAACCAAAGTTTTATAAGTATAAAACAAAGTTGCAAAAAAGAGTTTTTGGCAAGTCAGTGGGGGTAGGGGAAGCAGTAGTGGAACAGAACAGAAGGCCAAAATATATGATAAATGTACAGTATTTCTAATATCAAACTTTTACAGAAAAAATTCTTTTTTAAAAAAGTTTGCTTTGCCAAAGAAAAGGAACCTAACCTAATTTTACTGAATCTTCACTGATAATTTTAATGTATCAAAACTTTAGTCCTGTAGAAATGAGAAGTTGAATCATGTCCCTTTTTAACAAAAGGCACCAATGCTAAACATTTTATAAAAAGAATTTTTTAACAAAAGTTCATTATAAATAATAGAAACAATCAAAATAATTCATTTTAAAATACATTCTGGAAAAATTCCTGTGCATTAAAAAACTATTGCTAAATAGTGCCATTTTAATTGCCTTTTTTTTCACCATTGATGTTTCTCTCTCTCCCTCTCTCTTCCACTCTGAAATCAATAAAAATATATATAAAAAAGGAAGATAGATGGTATACTATATTCACCACTGTATTTTTGTTTCTGCATTTTCCCCTGAATTTAGTAATGTTTCATTTAAGAAAAAGTAAAAATCACAAAATCATTTAAAGGCAGAAATGACATGAATTAGAACCATATTAGAGACAAGACATGCAAAGGAAGCTGACATCTTTAAAGAAACCATTTAGTACTTAATTCAAGACTGCCCCTTCCCCTGGTATGTGATAGATCCTCCCTTCCCCTAACTGATGGACGGAGAATGAGGTAACCTGAACCTGTAGTCAGGACATTCCTGAAAACCTAACCAGGCACCTTATATGGACTGTACATTGAACCATCAATCAGCACCTGCCAAATACCTTCCCTTTCCTCTCCTCAAAAGGCACCTTCACCCCTGCACATGAGCTCTTTCTCTCTTTGAAAGGTAGCCCAGCAGGGGTCTTCTCTTCTAATAAAGCCAGTGACCTGGTACTCCAGCCCCTCTGTCTCATCTTACAGTCTGATGGGAGACTGGTGATCTACCTGCCCTGCAGTGACACACTGATGCGCAGTGAACTAACACTCTCATTCTCTCCTGGACAATGACTGAACAACTCCTCTGTGGCAGATCCTGTGGTTGGTAGTTAGTTCTTTCCAAATTGTCACTCAGATAAGCAAACTGAAATCTACATTACCACAGAAATGATCAAAGGAACACACACAAACAAACACTCTTTGGGTTGGTTAATGAGAAGAAATTGCAACATTCCCTTATTTATCTAGGGTTACATAATTTTGGAAAGGAACCTAGAATGGTAAAAATAGTTGAAACAAAGTGGTAGAAAAAAAAATAGACATGCTAATACTTATTTCAGTTGCTTCAAAGCCCAGTGGACCTGAGTGAGCACATATAATGTTTATTTCCACACGTACTCAGGTGGGCTTCGAGGGAACTTAAATATTATTTGCTTCACATTTTATGAATGACAAAACTAAAAATATCTTACCCTGATATTTTCTAGCATAGGAATAAATATTTAAGCAAAACTAAACCTTTCAATAACAAGAACATTAAATTTAAGTACACATTCAATATATATTGTCATCTTCATAAAATTCCCTTATTATAAAAGTGTGCTACTACTGGAATTTTTTCTTACAGATCTGCATAAAATAATTTCAAAAGGGTTGCTCTAATATATAAGAGCAAGATGTGAAGGAGCTGATGTTCCCTGTGTATTTGCTGTATGCAGGATGGAAAACAGTACTCTGGGCTATACATGGACACTTTATTCATTTGTACATTGAAAAAAAACAACACTAGAGAAAGATTTAAACATATACAAAAGCAGAAAGTATAATGAATCCATATATGCCTATCACACAACTTCAACCATTACCAATTCCCCAATCCTCATTCACCTGCCCTTTTGTTTGCTCTTGGATTACTTTGAAGCATATCCATAAATGCATCTGTAAAGGTTTTAGTCTGTATATATACAAATAGAAAATACTTTAAGGTCTAACTAGAATATAATTATTACTAAAAATTAGTCCACTCAATCTAAAAAAGTCATACTATCTGTAGTGCATTCCCAAGAATGTGTGAGCCACTACACTCAGCTCCAAAGGCTTCTTTTAGAACCCTCAAGGAAAATTTGCATGTTGTTTTGGTTAAATATGATTTACAGTTTTACATCTATTTCCAAACACAGGGTAACTACAAAGATTAAATTTGGAAAGGGAAGGGCTAAAAGGCAGTAACAACTTGATGATAAAAGAAAAAGCTTGGGACCAGTTAATCTAAAACCCAATTTAGGTTTTACTTCATCTCTCCAACCTAAAATGCTACACAAATCACTGACGTGTGTTAGAGAAGCTGTTTTATGTATATAACACAAAAGTTATCTTTTGTTCAGCTTTATCTTTGTTGGGAGTTAATATTACTCACTAGATCAAAACAACAGCTGCAATGCACATCCTTTTAAATTTGCAAACAGATCACACTAAATGTGTCTCCCTAGTGGTATTTACTGTAATAGGACTTCACTCACCCTCTTTCTCTGTAAACTGACTACTGTCATATGCAAATTAAGTTTCACCATAAATTCTCAAATGCCACTGTGGTGCTCTGCCCTGGTTTCTGTTAGATGGTTGACTGAATACCCATGAGGGATGTCTTCCACAGGCATATAGTAACTCCTCAGCTTGGGCATCAATAATTAAAATAATGTTTCTGTCAACATATACTTAGTGCAAGATCAAGGGGGATACATTAAAGAAAAAGAAAGACCAATAAATAACTCCTTTTCTAGCCTCCAACATATTAACATTCTGAGGATGTTAAGAGGAAGTACTTGGGACTCCACCATTCTAATTGACTCAGTAGATTTCACTTCCTCAAATAAGAAATACCACCAAAACAAAAGATACAGAAGTTAGCCAAAGTACTAAGCTCATCTGAAATTAAACTATGTAATATGCTCACAATAAAGTAATTCAGATATATGCTAACCATTAATACCATAAATTAGCAATTTCCAACAGGGGTGCCACAAAAATTTTTAAAACATGCAATATCTAACTATTTATTATAGTCAGGGGCACTGACCTCTTTTCCCTTAGATTGTCAAATAAAAAAAAATGACAACAGCAAACACAATAAGAGCCATCTGGTGTGAATGAATAAAAATTATACATGTCTTTTTTTTTTTTTTTGTCAGATCAGCAAAATATATATATATATGATGTGCTACAGAATTTTAGTAAATTAGTTTATGTATATCATGAGATGAAAAAGGTTGAAAATCACTGCTATAATTATACTAGGGGCCCAGTGCATGAAATTCATGCACTGAGAGGGGGTCCCTCAGCCCAGCCTGACCACTCTCACATACTGGGAGCCCTCAGGATATGTCCTACTGATGGTTTAGGCCTGTTCCCCATTGGGAGCAGACCTAAGCCACAGTCTGGCCTCCCTTTGCGGATGGCGATCGGGCTGATTGGGGGAAAGCGCTGCTGCCACCACTGCCATCACCATGCTGCTGCAGCCACTACCAGTCACCATAGCTGCCAAGATATTTTCATCAACATGGACTCCAGTCCCTTCACTATGAAAAAATGACAACTATCTTTAAGCATTTTCAAGATGTGTCTTTCATAGAATATGACATTTCTTTCTTCGTTTTTCTTTTTATCCTCACCTGAGGATGTTTCCATTGAATTTTTTTCCCTTCCGTCTGATCCCAAGCTCAGCCCCTTCCCAAGCCTAAAGCCTCTACCTCAAGGCTTTAGCTTGGGAAAGGGTCCCCGCCCTCCCCCGTACCTCCAAAGGCAATCTCAATCCCTTCCCAAACATAAAGCCTCTGCCCAATGGTTGGCTGAGAGTGACCTGGACTCATGTATGTATGCAAATTAACTTCCATCTTTGTTGGATTAATTTGCATACTCACTCTGATTGGCTGTGGGAGTAGTGGAAGTATGGTCAATTTAGATGTTTCTCTATTATTAGGTGAGATTAAATATAAATATAACTTTAGGTAACCTAAGAACAAATCAACATTGACAAAAAAATAGGAAAAAAATTATTTCCCTCCCAAATGTACCATCTAATTTAATAAAGAGGGAATATACTAATTGACCTTCATGTTGTTGAAAAGATGGTGACACCCACAGCCAATGAGGGAATATGCTAATTGAATGCCAAATCCTCAAATACGGTGGTGCCCACAGCCAATAAGGAGGGAACATGCTAATTGACTGTCACACCCTTAGAGATGGTGTCACCCATAGCCACAAAACAAGATGGTGATGCCCAGTCCCCTCAGGGGCAGCAGGTGCACAGCCTGCCTCCAGAGTCCCCCAGTCTCCTCAGCCCCCCCCCCCAACTCCTAGGGCCTGCCCCAGGCACAGGCAAGCCTCATATGGCAACTGCCCAGCCACTTAGGGCTGGCCCAACGCTCAGGTAACCAGGGCTGGCCAACGCTTGCACTGCGAGCAGTGGCAGCAGCAGAGATGTGATGGGGGCATCACCTACCCCTGATTACCGGGTCGCCTCCCTCCCCTGAGGGCTCCCGGACTGTGAGAGGAGGCAGGATGGGCTGAGGGACCCCCCCCCCCCTCCAGTGTATGAACTTTCATGCACTGGGCCTCTAGTTACTTAATAACATCTTAAATAAAAATCTTATTAAATGCCACCAAAATCATCTCATTATCATCATATTAATTACCTTCCTTATCCTTTCTATTTTAAATATTGTTCACATGGATTTTATCTCTTCAATAATAACCTTCTTTCATTTTTTTTATAATAAACATTATAAGTAGCGCAATTTATTTTCTCCCAGGATGATTAGTTGAGGACAGATTTTAAGATCAATCACTTCATATAGAGGATCTGAGAGGATACATAGCATTTTATGAGTCTCGTGTTAGAGTGTGTTTTA